ATGTGAAAAGACAACAGACAATAGAAAATGTAATAAACAAGACTGTAAAAATGATTTTTCTTCTTTTTCTTGTACTGGCTACTTCTTTTAGGGCTCACCACAGCTGATCATCGGCATCTATCTTGCTCAGTGACAGTACCTCACGCTATCCCTGGGATCTCTGCTCTCTGTCACCGTAAGCCTCTGTATGTCCTTTGTCACTACATCCATGAATCTTCTCAGAGGTCTCTCTTTTCCTCCTGCATGTCAGCTCCATATTCAACATCCTTCGTCCAGTATGTCCACTATCCATCCTTAGCATACCCAAATAATTACAACTTTGTCTCCAAACCACTCAACCTGAGCTGTCCCTCGGATATACTCATTTCCAGTCCTGTCCTTGTAAAACACTACCATCACTCTTGCTTCTCTGTCACAAATCACCCTGAGATTCATCTCCAAACACTCCACCCTGTGCACACTCTATTCTTCAACTTTCTTGTACAAAGATATATATAAAAAAATGATAAAGATCGATAATTTAAATCCATAAAAAAAAGAAATCTTTAAAACTAATAATAAACAAATACAAATTATTAGAAGCCACAACTTAAAACCAAAGGAATTGAAATGAAATGAGCTAATGATATATTAGATGCAGGCTGATCATCGTGTATATTTGTGTGCTTGATTCAGTTCTCTCACATGTAGCCTTTCACTTACTTTACATACTTACATACATACTTTTCGCACTCTCGGAGATCTACTGCGTAGACAGCGTCTTAAATATTGATGAAATGGTATTTCGTTTATGTGTTTCCAGTAGAGAGCGCATGAATTATTCACAGAGGAAGAGGCGAGTCTGGATCCCGCTACGTCTACTGGAAGAAGCTACAGTCACGTGACCACAAACGTCAACAACGAAATGGCAGCCTCCTGTTTTGTAAATTAACACAAGGTCCGAGCTGGTTAAAAGAGCGCTTCGATTTTAAATCTGAGTGTCGCATTTTCAAGGCGAAACCACCGGGTGTGTATTCAGCATTTCACTGGCTGCATGCGGGGGGCTACTTTACCGTTTTATGGTCGCTAGCTGCGGATTGAAATGCTAGCGTTTTGTTTCAAGGCGGCTCAGAGTGAGTACAGAAGGCTGTGGACTGTTTTCAAAATGAGGAAAACGACCAGTCCGCCCACGCCTGTAGTATTGTCTGTTACGAAAGCTGCGAGAAAAGCGCTTCCTTTCAGCTGTAAAGCTGGATAATTAGCTAGCAACTTTCCTAATATTCCACCGGTGTGTTACCACACCCACATGTAAATCCATCGCCGATACTCGGAATGAATTAGTTATTTGTGTGTTCTGTTTGGCCTTTTCAGGGAAAAAAGTGATGCCTTAATGGAAACAAAAGTCGGCTACAGACTCTGCGTTTGTCTGTTTTATTACTTTTTAAAAACACACTCAGATACAATAATTGGATTTTATTGAGAAAATTAACTAGCTTGTGGTTCAGATACTGAATGCAGCTGATTCATTTCATGTCAACTTGTAAACAACAACCGCACGCTGAGCTTCTAGCCAATAGGAGACCTCATCGATGTATAATACTGCTACCTGATTGGTCGGTTTGTGGATTCTTTTTACACAGCCTCACACTCAATGTGGAGAGTGATCCACATTGGGAATGGGAATCCACTGCTGTAGGTGATTATTGTAGTGCAAAGGGTCACACAAATGCCACCTCAACCCAGTCATCTTATTCTTTTAATATTTAACTCTGACTTCAGTAACAGTTGCTTATTCAGCATACTGCAGCAGAATAAAGGTCCAGGTGTGGCCTGTGACTTTGAGCTCCACGTGAATAGTTTGGTAGGTTGTCGTCAGTCTGTTCAGTTTCAGTCATCTGAATTCAACATGCCATCCGAAAAGTCAGGTAATCTCTAAAGAACCACATCTGTGTTTTGGAATTGTACCAGCATATCTGATTACCTATTGAGTACTGGTGTATCAGTGCTTGAGATCAGTGTTTTTGGACACTGATCGGTGCTTCGACGAGAAACTAGAGCCGATCTTATGATGCATTTTGAGATTGCTTTTTCTTTTTTTAACTATGTATGTTTAGATTTTTTTTTTATTTTATTTTAATGTTTTTCTTGACTTCTTTCAAACATATCTCCTTTGCCATTCAGAAAAGGCTATGTCTCCAAAGATAACTGGAGAGCTGCTCAGGCAGCTCCGTCAGGCAATGAAGAACTGTAAATACTTCTCTGAGCCTATACAAGCCTACATAATCCCATCTGGAGATGCACATCAGGTAAATCAAATCACATTTACTACAATAAATATCTTTACACAACCCGTTAGCAAGACACACGGAAAATCTCTCAGCTGCTCCTCTTACATCTGTCACTTCTCTAATTTTCCTTCTCACTGTGAACTCAATTCACTTCTTAATTCACTTTAATTTACTTCTCATGGTCTTGTCTGACCTTTGCAACTGATTGTAGCCCTTTGCTCATTACACTTCCCTAACCCTGCCCTTTTCTTCTTCATGCACATGACTAGCAGCGATGGCGGCAATTAAAATATTTGTTGGGTGGATGGCCACTTCACAGTGATTGTTAATGAAGCTGATTTCTCCCGTGTCTGTGTGACTTTCAGAGTGAATACATTGCACCGTGTGACTGCAGACGTGAATTCATCTCTGGATTCGACGGCTCTGCAGGTTTGTATTGCTTGTGCATGATTCCCATTGCACACTCAAGTGTAGGTATAATCAATCATTTTCACCGCAAAAAATCTGGAACATTTGATAACTGAGAATGATATTTGATATCTCTCGTTCAGACTCGTTTGTTGAGGGTAAAGCAGAACAAAAAACACCAGTGCACCTAGTTTCATGTTGAAAAGTAGTTTTCTTTCCCATTAAAGGCTGTGAACTTTCAAGAAAGGTGGGGGGTTTTTTTGTTTTTGTTTTTTTTGAAATGTAAGAAAACACTGTGGAAATCTTGCCTTCTGTCCTGACATAACCACAGTTTTACACGAGACAAGATAAATTCACTCTTTCTCAGGCTGCTTATTCACTGCTGTCATTTCAGAGGTATAAACCTTATATGTTGCTTCAGAGAAATCAATAGATATGCTTTTTGTACAAATAAAGCCAAGTAGCCAAAAGAAAGTGCTGAACAAAATTTCTTCCATACTTTGCCATTCAGGCACAGCCATCGTTACAGAGCAGCATGCTGCAATGTGGACTGATGGCCGATACTTCCTGCAAGCCCACCAGCAGATGGACAACAACTGGACCCTGATGAAGATGGGTAATGTCCACCTCGGTGTTTCAGTGATGAAAAAATCTCTCTCTGTTACATAAAGTACAAACACCTACGGATCTTTTTTTTTTCCTCATTTTAAAAGTTATATTTAACTACATGTGTTTTTAAAGTTTGAGGCTCTCTAATGAAGCAGCTGCACAGGCACAACATGGACATTTAGATTTGTCACAGCATGAGTAATAAGGCTTGAGTCACAGCTAGACAATAAGTCAGAATGGTTTTTTTCTAAGACTGGAAAAAGTGTCTCAAACTTAAGTTTAGACACTATTTGTGTCCGCACCGGGTGTAGACACACATACATTTTAGTATTCCATCTTCCACATTGGTATGAGTCATTTATATTATACATTCACATGTCTTGAAGGTGTCATAAACTGATTTTAATAATCATATACAGGGCTGAAGGAGACACCCTCACAGGAAGACTGGCTGATCAGTGTTCTTCCTGAAAACTCAAAAGTGGGAGTAGATCCTTGGATCATTGCTGCTGGTAAGCTACAGTATCATATTCATGTTAGTTCAGTGAATTAGCATTGCAAGCTTTACTTGGAAAACCGGTCGTGCTGCAGTGAGGCAACCGAGGCAAACGGAAATATTCCAGTATGCAACAAGAGTGCATGATTTGAACATTTCTAGCTCATCTTATTAGATTTTAACTTGCACAAAAAAAAATGGAGGAATTCGTAAGCTCTCAGACAAATACACTTGCATTGTGTTGTAGAGTAGAGGCAGCCCGCAGCGTCTCCACTTCAGACCCACAAATCACCCGAAATAAATAAATAAATAAAAATTCAGTTAGGATCTGTATAATCAGAAGAATATTGTTTACAATCGATGGCCATTTCTTTTTAACTTTAAATTTATATCAATAGCACAGTATAGAAGAGCACACATGGTTGACAACAGATAAGACATCATCTAATACCCACATAGAGATAAATAAAGTTATCTGAATTGTCAAAAACCGAATGAAAGGACAAGTTTGGGTGGATGTGGGTTGCCAAGCAGCTTGCAATAACTGTAGGTAGGCTAATACGACTTAATCAGCATGACCTTCATGAGATTAGCTGGTTGGACTATGAAACTATGCATGCTGGCTGATATTTAAATCACCTGATCTGCCGAGATTACTGCAGAGTGTGACTCTGTTGCCCCTATGAAGTAACACTCTGTTTTTTTTATTTGGTATTTGTGCTTGTTAAGAAATCTCATATTGTGTTTCAGACCAATGGAAGAATATGTTCAAAGCTCTGTCCAGTGCTGGCCACTCGTTGGTAGCAGTGCAGGATAACCTTATCGATGCCGTCTGGCCGGACCGACCAGAAAGACCCAGCACACAACTCCGCAGCCTGGGATTAGACTTCACTGGTCAGTGCAATTAAATAGCATTAAAACTATTTTACATGTAGCCTCTTTTTATTTTTAATAGTAGCTTATTAAGTGTTTGTCTGTTTAAAAAAAAAAAAGGAAAAGAAAAGTTTTTTTTTAAAAAAAAATTTAAAAATTTTATAAATTTATAAAAAAAATTTAGAAAAATTATAAAAATTTAGAAAAAGGTAAAAAAATTGTGTAATACTTTTAGAAATCCACATAATCTAGACACAGTTTAATGGCCCTTTAAATTACGTTTCCAGTCTTCAGTAACTAGATGTATAGGCATTGGATGAAACAAACTTGTGTCTTTGTGTGTTATTTATGCTTTGTGTAGGTATTTCCTGGCAAGACAAGATCACAACGCTGCGAGCCAAGATGTCAGAGAGGAAGATCACCTGGTTTGTTGCAACAGCACTGGATGAGATTGCGTGTACGGTTCAGTTTTCCTATCCTGCTCCTGAGTGCAGTTCAGTTAAGCTCTTCAATGTGCATAATTTAAATATTACTGTTCGGTACATGATAACAAGCAGAGGACACATGTGCGAGTGTCCCTTTAGATTCGAGGACCTCAGCGTTCACCGTGCTTTATTTGCTCTTGTTTCTGATTGTCCTGTTTATTAGATGAAGACTTATTTTGATTGTCAGCAGGTAACATTTAGGGCTGGATGGCTTCAACCAGCAGATTATAGAGATGAAACCTGTAAGGATGAATGACAGTTCAATAATAACACTGACATTTTACACCACCCACTTCATACTGGCTCATTGTTTCATGAGAATTAAAGTATTCATTGCTATGTTATGCATCATAATAGAAGGAAGAATAGGGTGTTTCTTTTTTTTGTTTCATTTTTTAAATCTGTCATCTTATTGTTTTGTTTTCTCAGGGCTTTTCAACCTTCGCGGGGCAGACATTGAGTACAACCCAGTTTTCTTTGCATATACCATTGTGGGAATGAATACAATAAGGTGACGTCCAGTATGATGCATCAGTGATTATGAATTTGGACAAACAGTGCTTTACTGTAAAACTTAGACAGTAGTTTGTATAATTTGAGAGATGTCAGAATAACTGAAGGTGTGCATAACATAACGTACCTATCTGGACTTTGGACAAAATTTCAAGTTTATGTGCATTTTCATTGTGTTTAGTGCAACCACATCTGTTAGTGCTAATAAATTGTACTCCACAATGCACTTGAGGACATCTAAAAATAATTGTATGCAACCAGATTGTATACTATATGTATTGCGATATGTACACTGTATGTATTTAGTAGCTAGTTAAGGGCACATCCAGTAGATTACACCTCCCAAAGCCAGAGGAACAGGGTTTCCTCCTGTGTTAACCATTTCCCTTTTTCACTCAGCAACCCTTTCCTCTCTGCAGGTTTTTTGTGGACCTCAAGCGTCTTTCTGACCCTGCAGCGAGAGAGCATCTGCAGCTGGACTCCCCTAGCAAACCTGAGCTGAGCATCCAGACATTTCCGTATGAGTCGGTCTACACTGAGCTCCAGGCCATCTGTGCTGCACTTGGCCCAAAGGACAAAGTGTGGATTTGTGATAAAGCCAGTTGTGCTCTCACACAGGTCATCCCTAAGGTGAGAGAAATGATTAATCAAGAGGGAAATGATTACTTGAGTCACTGCTAAATTTGTAAGTTTGCTCCCTTAAGAAGAAGTGAACGTGCTGTAATTCATGTGGTAGTTTCATTTGAACAGGAAGAGACAGAATATCGACTGCGAATCCAAAACAAACACGTTACATAAAAGTTCTAAACTGATTTTCATATCAGAGAGTGAAATAAGTATTCAATCCTCAAGCAGAACATGACGTAGTCCTTGGTGGAGAAATCCTTGTTGCCAAGCAGTGAAGTAAGACATCCTTGCCAACCACCCATGAGGCAAGGTCTTACATGGAGCTCCAGACAGATGGTGGTTGATGGTCATTTTGTAAATCGGCCACTTCTGAATAATCGTACCAACAGTTCCAGGCTCATGCAGGTCTAAAATCTTGTCTTTGGTATCCTTTAAATGCTGTTTGGTCTCATAAATTCAGCAGTGATCGTTTTCTCACTGTAGATCAATAGTTCATGTGTAGAGGCTCATTGTTGGCTTCTGGTGTTCACAAAAGAAGATAAAGAAGATTTAAAAAAAACAAAAAAAACAAGCTGGATTGCGTCTGTGGCATGTCTGTTTACACAAATATGAAGAAGTAGTGTCTGCTTTAAATACCAGTGGTTGGTAAAAACATACCTGAGTACTTTGTGGCTCAGGGGTAATTTGTAAATGTCAGAGAGTTTTTACAGTTTAGAAAAAAATTGCCTGTTTGTTTCCTTGTACCTATCAGATGACACATTCTCAGATTATTGGGTCAGATTTTTGAAAACATGCTGTTTTAAATTCTCAGAAATAGGACAGAGACCTATACGATTACAGACATTAATGCAGGAGCATTGTCTGGTAGAAATACTCATTTTCTCACCTGCATTAGCAAGTAAAACTTGAAAAATATCTTGTAACTTTAGCAAAACTAACAACTCTTAATATGTAACATGAATCTGCTCTACCCGATGTGAAACTGGTTCATTACATTCATAAAAATACAGCAAAATACAATAAATATTTCTCATTTAGTATGAATATATTTAAAAAATAGTAAAAGAGCTGCATGTCTTTTAATGTTTTCTCCTGATGTTTTTGTGTTTTGTTTTTTGTTTTGTTTTTTTGGTAAAGACGCACCGATCTCCAATTCCCTACACTCCACTCTGCCTCGGCAAAGCTGTGAAAAATGCCACAGAGATTCAAGGCATGAAAATGGCACACGTAAGAATCACTGACTCCTGAAATATGTAGTGTAAAACATATTAGTGTGTCTAATATTTTTATGAACTGTGTGTTTGTGCGTTTGCCAACAGATCAAAGATGCAGTGGCACTTTGTGAACTCTTTGCTTGGTTGGAAAAGGAGGTATCTTATTTTTTTTGTTTTGTTTTTTAATCTTATTTTCATGCATGCATCTCTGGAATTTTCAATTCTGGCTTCAATTCAATTTAATTCAGTTCATATAGCACCTAATCACAACAACAGTTGCCTTGTATTGTAAGGGAAAGACCCTCTATAACAGCGGTCCCCAACCCCCGGGCCTCGGACCGGCACCGGTACCGGGCCGCGAGAGTTGAGGCTCAGGTTTGAAATGTATGGTTTTCAGGGTTTTTTTGTTTTTTTTATTTCGGTACCGGTACTAGTTTTATTTTGTTGTATTTATCCGCGACACCTTAAAGGCCGGTGCGTGAAAATATTGTCGGGCATAAACCGGTCCATGGCGCAAAAAAGGTTGGGGACCGCTGCTCTATAATACAGATTTTCACTTACTTTCATCATCCAGGAAACACACGTTTTTGTTTTTTTTGCACTCACAGTGTTTTTTCACTGTGAGTGTAGGAATGCTATGGTCGGGATGACATTTTGTCATGTGCTTTAACGTCTTCCTTGTTGTCTCCTTGTTGAGTTTCACGTGCGTTGGTTTTTGTAATTTTACAGATTCCAAACGGCAACGTGACTGAGATATCTGCTGCTGATAAGGCAGAAGAATTACGTAGGTGTGTTTTGTTTTGCTCTTTTGTTTAACATGATGTTGATCAAGCTCATCCAGTTTAGCTTCAACAGCTTCCTTCTTGGAAAGGATGTCTTTAAAAGATGCTGTTCCAGTTCCAATCTGCATCCTCCCTCAAGTGCAACTGAAAGGGTTTTTAATTAAATGGTAAGGTAAAAAATAGAACACAAAGCCGTCTTTACCAGAAACGGGAACCTCTGTCTGCCATCACATGGATGAATTAAGATCAGTTATTGTCACTTATCTGAAACTGGGCCGATTATGTTTTAATTACAAGCAAGCGTTTACAACTGTATTTCTAAAATGTATTCACTTCTCTAAACTCTTTTCTTTATGGAAAACTAAAATATAATCACAATATGAAGCGTGTGTTGTGTGTTGTACTGTAATTGCAATATTAATATAATACTGTAAATACAAGTTTTCTGTTAGATGTTTACTGTGAGCTCATCACTTCCATGGTTGGTCCGTCACTTTGTCTCCTAAAACTTAAGTTTCTTGTGTTCTGTGAGGGTTTTGTTTATTTGTTTTGTGAGCCTTTTCTTTTGCTTTTTATTTCTGTTGTGTTTTGTTTGCTTTTTTTTTTTTTTTTTTAAAAGCATTTTTTCTATTTGTTGCGATTTACTTAAGTTTCGGTGTGCTTGAATTCTCACGGTCACTGTGCGACCTTGATAATAGTTTTGTTTTTTTTTTGTTTTTTTGTCTTTTCCTTTAAACCCGCTCAGATGTAAGACTATTTGGTTTGAAGCCCCTTGAGTAAACTTGCAGAGTAAAAGTGTGCAGAGCACAGACTGGTCACAGCTCCCTCTACTGGATATAGGAGGAAAACAAAGTGCTGAAGTTCTGGTATTAATCTTAACCTGGTATTAAGCTTTTGCAATATTTTTTATCCCTCTGGGGGAAAAAGGTGAAAGTGTCATATGTCATTAAAAAAAATACTTTTTTTAAAACTAATAAATGGTTTTAAAAACTTTTCTATAGTAAGCAAAAATAGTGCAAATATGGGAAACAAACTCCCACCAGGTGCTAGCAGGAAGTGCTGGAAGCAGGTGGAGAAGTTGTTATTGATTAAAATGTAGCTGTTTGCTGTATAACAACAAACCCCGATCATCTCAATCACATTAAAAAGAAGAAACTTGTCCGTTACCACTTAACTGGTAATTAAGAACTATTCCATGTGGCTACCTTTTGAAACCAAAGCTGTCATCAAGAAACAGTTGCATCTCGGAAAATTAAAAAAAAAAAAAAAGGTTTTCTTTTTTTAATTTCAAATATTTCTCATGGTATAATTATGACTGTCATTAATGCTTACCATTTTCTTGCACTTTTTTCAGTCAGCAGAAAGATTTTGTGGGTCTCAGCTTCCCAACAATTTCCAGTGTTGGTCCACATGGAGCGATCATACATTACAGGTTAGTTTGCAAATAAAAACTGTATTTTTGTCATTTTTGTTAATTCATAGTTTTAGCTTGTAGCTGTGATTTCATGTTTTTTTTGCTTGTAGACCACTGCCTGAGACCAATAGGACCCTCACCGTAAATGAAGTTTATCTCATCGACTCTGGAGCTCAATACGTGTAAGTAAGGTTGTTTTTAAATGCTGCAGAGCAGATGTCTTTAGGATAATTAGTTACCTCTTTACGTCTTTTGCAGTGATGGAACAACAGACGTCACACGTACCATGCACTTCGGGACACCATCTGCTTTTGAGAAGGTAAGTTTGTGTGATTGCTCAGAATATTTCCTGCCACCGGTTAATTTAATTGAATTACACTTAGGTTGACTCAGTACTGTTTGTTTACAAAGGCTATTATATGTATCTTTGTAATATGTGTGTTATTTTCCTCCTAGGAATGCTTTACCTACGTACTGAAGGGACACATAGCTGTCAGCGCTGCCATTTTCCCCAATGGAACAAAAGGTGCAGCACTCGGCTCTGTCGTTAAGACTATGCTGATGTTGTTTTCAGTACACGGATGTTAAAAATGACGATTTTACACCAAAATAGCTAACAAAGTTCCAGATGACTCACGGTGATTAGTACTTGTTCTGTCTATTCAGGAATACAAATGTTTTATTTCTACAAGATAAACATTTTGTCGCTCATAACGCGGGCATCTTTTTGGCCAATCAAGCTTGTTTACTTACGATCTTGAACTGTGTCTTATGCTAAAGGAAGAACAATCGTGTTATAATTATATCCCGTAAAAAGCCGGAAGCTGTCACCCTGCCAGGGAACACGGAAGTTTGAAATTATTACCATAGGTGCATCTACTAGTAGGCTAAGAGTTACCACTGGCTGCCACCAGTATTTTATGATCATACACTCAGTATTTTAACTAGGAAAAAAAAATCATTTAAATACATCCGAACAATCCATGCGCATATTTTTTTCTGACATGCACAAGCAGAGAAGTAAAAGACCTTTGAAATGTTGTGTTGAAATGTAGAAAAGAATCCAGCTCTAAACCTCTATTCCTTTACCAGGCCACCTCTTGGATTCGTTTGCCCGTGCAGCCCTGTGGGAGTCTGGGCTGGACTACCTCCACGGTACAGGTCACGGGGTGGGCTGTTTCCTCAACGTTCACGAGGGGCCTTGCGGCATCAGCTACAAAACCTTCGCAGATGAACCGCTGGAGGCCGGCATGATTGTCAGCGATGGTATGATCTACTGTATGTAATGGATCATAAAATGAAGAATCTGTTGCATTTGCAGTGTTTACAGAGCAGCTGTTCGATTAATAAATGTCCAGTTATTCAGAGAAACCCCAGCAGCAAATTCAGGAAAGAGCTAAAACAATAAATACCGTGAGTACACTGGAAATGAAACAAAGTCAATAATTAATTGACTTTTTCCATTAACCTTCTATTTTTTTCTGTGATATAAAACAGTCAAAAACTGCTACATCATTGTATCGCCTCTGGAGATATCTGCTTATCCAAGTAGTGTACAAGTCAAAAGAGGAACCTGTAGTTTTTCCAGAGATTAAAAGAAAATCTTGTAAAAATATCCAAATTTAACCTCCTAAGTACCTGAACTCTTTCATGGCATGCATTTTTTTCTTTCTCTTTGCTATTTGGGGTGATTGGGATAAATGTAAAAACAAAGAATTACGTGATTTTTTTTTAAAAAAAAAAATCTATTTATTTATTTTAAACTTGACTTTTGTTTCTGAGAAAAAACAGATCCACATATCAGGACATTCACTTTTTGTTAGATTAGTGGCAGTCTAATGTCCTCGTAAGTGGATATCAGGCACTGGTAGAGCAAAATGTAGTATTTTAGTCTAGAAAACCCAAAATGTGATGTCCACATATGTGGATGCCAGGTCCTAGGAGGATAAGTCTACCAAAGCTCAGCTGGCTATAATCTGTGTGTTTGTGTGTGTTATTTCTTTGTAGAACCTGGATACTATGAAGATGGATCTTTTGGCATTCGTCTGGAAAATGTGGTCCTCGTTGTACCAGCTAAGCCCAAAGTACGTGTTAAAACAGGTCAAATGAATGTTCAGAAATGCAGTAGATCAAACATGCGTTTTTTTTTTGTTTGTTTTTTTTACACGTTCTCTAAATATCTATGAGTCGTTATAACCATTAAGATGTTCTTTACTTTTAATTCTTTGTAGCAAAATAATGAGATGAATTAATGATGTTTTTGTTTTTCTGTCTGTATGTGCAGTACAACTACAGAAACAGGGGTAGTCTGACATTTGAGCCTCTCACTCTGGTTCCCATCCAAGTGAAAATGATGAATACAGAGCTTCTCACTCAGAAGGAGGTAAGGTTTTGGTACTCGGATAAAAAGAAAAATCTGTATATGTATACTCGGAGTAGGGTTGTTCGATATATTTTTTTACGCAATCGTTTGTTTCGTGGTGTCGCAAAATAAACTGTTTACGGCAATATTTTTCAATCTTATATTGAATATAACCACACTACAGACAGACAAGCGTTTGTTTTTATGCATTGTCGTTAGCAACAAAGACGGTAAAACCACCGCGTGTCTGCTTGTTCCACATAAACCTTTCACAATAAAGCTCAAGATCCTGTTGAGACTTTTCAAAATAAACTGAATCACGTGAAAGATGCAGATTGTTTACAGATGAGAAGCAAAAAAGAGCCGCCAGGTGCTAAAAAATAAACCTTAGACTCAAACGTTAAAACAGGCTTTTCTCCGCAGCACGCCGTGTAATAAATACAAAGAAAACGGCGGCTGTTACAACTTATGTCTAAAAATGTGTAGTTTCATGCAGCAGTTAAAACACTCGACTGCAGCTACACGACGTCTAGCTGGAAACACTTAACGCAAGTCGAGCTGCCCGAGATTCACAGAATTTACAGAAAATGTTACATTTTTGTGATTTATATCGTTATCGGACGATAGATGTCTTATATCGGGATATGAGATTTTGGTCATATCGCACAACCCTAACTCGGAGTTTATCACAGTTATATATGTGGTAAAAACTTCAAATTCTGCACATCCAGTATTATCAGCTTTTTATTCTGTGCGGTGAATATGAACATTCTCAGCTTGCAATGTTATTGAAATCCTGTATTACATGATGCCGTGTATATGTGGTTTGACTCTTGGCTCTCCTCTCCTGCAGCGGGACTGGGTGAATGAGTACCACAGGAAGTGTCGGGAGGTGGTTGGAGCAGAGTTGGAGAGGCAGGGTAGGCAGGAGGCATTAGAGTGGCTGATCAGAGAGACCCAGCTGATCATCTGAGGACCAACTCTTGTGTGATCATTTTGCCCAGGATTACTGTTGATTGCTCTGCAGTGATAAACGTTTGTATTTTCTCATGTTTCTCCATGTCTCGCACCCAGCTTCTTTTGTAAAGCACATTACATCAGCAGTTTTATTAAAGATCTGTCAAAAGCAAGAAGCACTTTTATATGCTTACTGTTTTTGTGCGAGGAAATAACTTCTGATGAACTATTAGCATATATTGAGTGTTCATGAAACATATGGAATACATTATTCAGACTCTTTTAGAGCAAAAGAAATCTACAGTAGTAGTAGTAGTTCTGAGTAGTGTATCACAGACTACTGAATCTAGGTTGTACAACTGATGTAGTGCCCTTCACATCTTGGTGAGAAGTTTTCATACACATAGCTGGAGGTGTCAAACTTCCAACCTTTCAGACTGAGTCAAGTGCCTCTAGCTAATCTTGTTAGAACTGTTTCCCACCCTCTAAAGCTGCATGTAAAATATTGGAGGGTCCAGGACGACACCTCTTTTGGGATCACTGGCGAACTCTTGAAACGAGTGAGACAATGAGAGCACCTGTTGCTCCTCTGGTATCCCACTCGCTTTATTGGCTCCCTCCTCATCTTCATCCTTCCCTCCTACGGGCAGCGGGTTACTGTAGATGTAATAGATCCGGGAGTTGTCCTTTGGTGCCTCTGGTTTCCTGAAGAAGGTGAGAGGGTTGATGAAACTCGTCGATCTCTTCACTGCTTTGACTGCCACGGGATCCTCCGGCTCGCCTCGGGTCACTGCGCTCTCGTATAATTGTGCTCTTTTTGACTGCCTGTTGAACAAAGCAGTAGTAATTACACTGACATGTAACTTTACTTTGGATTACCTGGTCACTCTTTAGGATTATCAGTTTTCATTTAAACAAATACACAATTTCATTCAGCTGTTACCTCGATTAAGCTAGGAGTTGCACATATCTATAAACATGCTTTAGTCCTTTAGGCTCACCTGGAACGGTTGTAGCAGACGGTAATGCAGTACAAGCCAGTGATGGCAAGTATACAAAAGGCCAAAGTAATCATCACAACGTTGAACACTTTGATATCTGGGTGGCAGAAAGCAAAGGGGGAAAACGGTTAAACTGTATGATAAGAGTTCTGAGAAATTAACAGAAGAACATTACGTACCAAACAGGCCGGAGCTCATGTTCTCGTCTTGCTGCTCCAAAGCTGCGGTCCCGTTCAGGTGGAGGTTCACTGCCGTCGGCACTCTGTCTTGTGCGGATTCACTCATGTTGCTGCCACTGACATCCAAAACAAGGACTCGAGGCTGGGCTGTAAAACTCTTTTCATTGGTTTATTGAAAAAAACTCTGCCCATGTGACTGCAACAGCTTGAGTGAGTCTTTGTGGTGACCCCCCCCCTTCTTTGTCAGCCCTTGAGCTGGAGACTCCCTCTTCTGCCTCTCTGCTACTCTCCCTGTTTACTGCTCATTATTCTGTTCAAGTTTCTGGGGGACACTGAGGGGAGGGAGATGCTGATCCCTTTATACTGTTTGTAATAAGCTCTGGGTGATGACCCAGAACCAGTGAGCTTGATCCAAGCTTCCACCACTGAAAGAGGAAGCAACGCAATTAAGCAAATGAAGTAATTTTTTTATTGTGCAGTGCAGTTAAAGCATGGCTTTACAGTTTTTACTATATAAAAGTGCAAGTGTTTCAAATTGTATTTTGTTATCTATTTAACTTGAATTTGTAAGCATTTAGACCATAAAAAGTCAAAGAAACAGTGGCAAAGTTCTGAGAGTCCTTCCTTACCTTCAAAAGTCAAAGATAATCCTTTTTTCTAATATAAAAAGAGGAAATAGCTGACTTTTTCCTCTCTCTATCACTCTCTTTCAATAATTAGCAAATTAGAAATTCCATCTTACTTTTAATTAAATCTGTAAAGATATGTTCACATCATAGACTGTATGTAAAAGATGCATGGCGCCACCCACTGGTTGTTAAAAGTTAAACAAGTGTTTTTCCTGTTACCATGTCTGCTTTTTGAAAGCAGGCACAACAAGCATGGGGCAGAAACGGAGGAGCGTTGCACATTCAATGGTTAAAGAACATTTAGTGCTTCTGAGGTACAGGTACAAACTCTAATGAGTTCTAGTGTTACACAGAAATGGTTAACCCAAAAGTAGACAGTCAAGAGGTGGCAGATTAGATAGGTATTTTATTTGAATGCAGATGGTGGTGAGAAGCTCAGGCTGCGGTGGGACGGTAATAGTCAAGGATGCCCCATGCAGTGGAGTGAGGAAGGCCAAAGGAGGAGTGGAACTGCAAAGAGGGGAGCACAGAGGTGAATATAGCTTGGCAAGGTGGTCGGCACAGAGTTGCGTATTTTTAGAGGCTTGATGACTGTGATCCTGTGCTGCTGTGGTACTTTTGATCAGGCTCAGGGCACCTGACCAGACAACCGGCTCCAGTCCTGCAGTCAAGTATGACATGTGCAGTATGACAGAGCAGCACTAGGAGTGGCAAAAGGACTCGAGTGACCTGAAGTGGATCATAATTGAGAAGTGAAATTAGGCGACATTTCAGACAAAATCCAAAATTCGGGACACTGATTTCCTTACCTTTTGTCTGTTATATTTTCACTCATGGCTTTGCGTGTTTCGAGGACGGTAGTACAGTACAACACAACACTCCAATTAGACTAAAATCAGTTTCCACAAACTGTCAGGATCCACGGCAGAGTGCTTCCAAAGTGTTTTCAGAGCCAAAGCCAGCAAAAACGCAACAAAGACAGCATTCTTCTTTCTTCTTATGCTTCACTTCACCGTGCAGCGCCACGGGAGACGTCATGCAATTATGAGGATCCAATTAAAAGGGGTTTTGTTTCTCTTTGATGAGACGATCTGCCACACGAAGTGAACTTTTTGAGAATTTTACTTCTTTGAATGATCTTTCTAGAAATATTTACGCATATTAGTTCTTAGAAAATATAATAACTTGCTATATCGAATTAAACAAGAAATTATTGGCATTTGAAAAATAGTGGATAGCTTGCACTGTCAAACAAGGACTTCATGAAAACACTGCTGTCCTAACAAATTCATTAGATAGTTGTGTTTTAGGGTCCGGGGCAGCATGAGATCTCACTTGTAGCGTTTGGTAGTTCTTAAAAAACAACAAAAAACTGCTTCCACGACTGGCTAAACACGAACTCCTGCAGTGATCGTCTTCTCCAGCAGGTGTCAGACCTCGCCTGTCTGTTTGTACTTCAGCCTGCAGTCACATTACTTATTGAGACTGGCCCTGGCAGTTTAGGGTTGAGTGACAGCTGGGGTCTTTATATTCCAAGTCAGTGCACATTAAAGAAAAACAAAGCCAGACTTCATTTAACTGATTAGGAAGTATGCCATGACAAAGATGCTCAAATATGTGTTTACTAGCCTCCTAAACTCCCTTTTAAGTCTGTTTAATGTTCCCATCCATTTCTTCATTATCCAGGGTTAAACTGTTTTGATTTAAGGGGCATGTGGGTGGCATTTAGTTGGTAAGGTTTATTTGAGCAAGGCAGTTTTCAGCTAACTCTGTTTGTGGTGACTATCATGGGAATAAGGCCCGGAATACACCAACTAAATATTTCCCACTTTTACCCAGAACAACCATATTAACACTGTGGAGGAAACTGTTAGAAATAACTAGCAAAATAACTTTACTGTTTTTCTTTCATTGTACTAAGGTTGTATTAAAGATATGTATTTGTCTTGTAATTATATCATATACCTCTTACATGTAGATTTCTATTTGGTAGCAATGTATGACCCCCCCCCCAAAAAAAAAAACAACTTAATATATAATTTATTTTCAGATCTAGTGGGTGCTGTTCATGTTGTTTAAAGCCTTTCAAGAGAAATGTTTATATGCATTACATTCATTTTGACTAACTAAAGCAAATTCGGAAATTGGATATCGCCAAATGTCTGTGTAACGTTATGTGTGTTTATGTATGTATGTATCTATTGCTAACCTTTGGGTAGCTATGTGAAAAATACATTTCCATTTGTTAAAGGATGCTTTCATAATTTCGTCATGCTTTCTTGCTCTTATAAACAGGAGACATTTCAACAAAATTATCTTTTGTTAGCATTTGCAAAAAAGGGCTAACATTTCTAATGAAATAATCTGTGTGTCACAGTCGAGCAAAATCCAGGCACTTTGATGATAGCATGATCCTGATGAGTTTGTGCTTTTGGTTTGACTTGGAGTGCTGGAAAAGCCTCCTGAGTTATTAAAGATTAATGCTCAGTCAACAAAGAGAGACGTGAATCATCTGGTTTTGTTTTGCACATTATTAAACTGATTTCCGATTAAAATAGTCTCATTTAAACTCTTGGCTTGTTGTCCTTTTTAGAGATGTGTGAGGGGGAAAAAAAATAATCACTTGCAGGGTACTCAGAAAGTACATCCTCTGTCAAGGCCGCTGCCCTATTTTGTACTTTGAGGAAAGTGATCCAGATCTACATTAAATTTTCATGGGTTCTCCCCTCGTCCACGCTTCACCTCTAGTAAGTTTCATGAAATTCATCCTGTTAGTTTTTGCATAATCAGACGGACAGCGAGAAAGACAAACTTAATAGCACTCAACTCTATCCCAGAGTTACTCTTTGCATGTAATGTTTCTTTAAAACAACTCAAAAATATTTTATATTGCCTATATATAACATTTTTAACTAGGACATTACCTTTGAAAACGCACAAAACAAAAATACAGTTAGCTTGATTAAACATGAATCACAAGACAGTAACCTAATCATGAATATAACGTAAAGAAAAGGCGATTAAAATCATTCAAATAAATGCAAAAAAAAAGAAAGAAAGAAAAAAAGATTCTGATAAAAATAAACGCCCACGTCTCATTCAGCAAAAATTGTTTTACAAGCATGCACGGAGTTGTGTTTCCTGAATGCATTATTCCACCCATTTCACTTTATAAGGCACTCGTGTTAATACGCTGCCTTAGACACTCATGACCTTTGCCACATCAGGTGGATCAATGGTAAGCGATGGCCTTTAGACTAGACAGACATTAAGCGCGATAGAGGGCATATGTCTGAAAGGATGAGTGGATAAAAAACGTAATGTCACTGTTAATGCTTTCTCCCATGTTCACAGTCGATCCACAACCACCACCTCATTTATCACCGCAGCACACTGTTCAGTTTCTACATCACAAAGTGAACTCCCCCACGCTTAAAGTTCCCTTATCATTAGCTGACTTTTTGGCATTTCTAACCCCGGCAGCTTACAGAGACGGAGCAGGTGAGATTTTGACCTTCCTGTTGAATGTCTTGTAGTTATTAGGCTCCCTGGCTTGTACCCAACATCCTCATAATAAGTTGCTTATTCCCTTTACTCATTTCCTCTCCTCCATTTCTTTTTCTCCCCCCTGTGCACTGGTTATCTTCTGTTTGCTCCTTTTTAAACTTATTGATTGCCAAAAATTATATTATATTTTGGCTGAACGTATGTTATTAAGGCCCAGGATGGCTGTAAAAATGCTTTTATGTTGTGGAACCATTGAGGTTAACATTTTAAACAGAGGGACAGAGTTTCATATTTTTCTTTGACTCATAAAATTCATCCAAGTCAATCAATCATCTCTCCTATAATCTTTGTCAAACTCTACCCGCTCTTTTTGGTGAATTCCTGACCATCCCTCATCACCCAGCCTCACCCCTCCTCACCCACTGTGCTCCTCTGCCTCCTCCCCCTCAGTATTTATACAGAGGTTTGTGGGGAATTAGCGTTCTAGCCTGATCCACTTTTTTGGATGTGGTTCAGCGGGAAGGTCCTGACTTGATTTATTACACTTGTCAGTTAAATTTCTGGAGGTGCACTTTAATGCACAGAGGCTGAATAATGTATGATGGTTGTGTTTTGATATCTCTGATAATAATCAGCGGTCATGCCACTGTGTATGATGACTTCTGTACATGGTGAAAGACTCAGCGCTTAAAATTCTTTGTAAAATGGATCATCATTTAGGAGAGGAAACGTTCTGTGTTGTGTAGTTTTGGCTAAAGTGCACCATATGCATACAGTAAAAATATATGGCTCATAGTGTCAAAAGCACACATTGGTTTATGAAATGTCTTTATTTATACGCTAACAAGCAGAAAAGAATCGTCCCTGTGATGGAAATCTAAGCTGAATCTACAATAATTCAAAAACTGTTGAAAATGCAATAATTCATTCATGTATATATTTTTTAGCTAATATTTTTAGATTTAATTCTTTTGGGTTGATAGAATAAGCAGCCAAAAAAGAATCACACGGTTTTGGAAAATCTTAAAATTATAAGTCATTTAGTGTCAAAAATGATCGATACAGTGGTTAGTAGTTAATAACTTTAAATACTGACCTAATGTAAGTTTTACAAGAGCATAAAACTTTTAGATGTTTTAATGAAGACATGTATGTGTGTTTATTATTTCAGTCTGCGCTGTTTTTGTTCAGGTCGATTTGATTTACAATTTATGAATCCAGTCAATTAGCCTCAGAACTGTTTCCCATGAAGTCCTGGGTCATACTTTAGTGTCTACGATGAAAGAATGAACTGAAATAATCTGTTGCCAAATACTGACGCTCATTTTTGATAATTCCCAAAACAAACAACAGCAATGCTGTCAGATGTTTTTACTGTTCTGTGAAGAGGGTTGAAGGTTGAATTTGAGCCCAAATTTGTTATTGTGATAGCTGTTTTGGGCATGAAGCAATAACCTGTTTTGACTGTGAGGAAAATAAAGACAACCTGACCTAATCAAACCTAATCTTACAACACATGTTAGATTCATACTAATGTAAAAGACTGGAGACTGAATTTTAAATGTGTGATTTAAAGATGCCTGCTGTCATCACTGTTATTTCCAATTAAAGCTGAATACAGGATACCGTGGCCCTCAGTGGACGTCTGTGAAACTGACCAAGTAGTGTCACAGAGAGGCTCATGAATTGTGCATGAGTCATAAAACTACATACACACTATTTCCTTGACCTTGTCTGCCCTTTGACCCCCTACTGCACTACGCAGGAAATGTGCTTTGAGTTCAACAAAGTTCAGTTTGTTTACAAATAGCTAACAAAGACACTAGTGCAGCGGTCCCCAACCTTTTTTGTGCCACGGACCGGTTTATGCCCGACAATATTTTCACGGACCGGCCTTTAAGGTGTCGCGGATAAATACAACAAAATAAAACTAGTACCGGTACTGAAAAAAAAGAAGATTTATTCATAACACACATGAAAAGACCCAGGAAAACCGAGTTAATGATAAAAACGATAACAAAATAATGCTGAAAACTGATAAAAACCCTGAAAACCATACATTTCACACCTGAGCCTCAACTCTCGCGGCCCGGTACCAAACGACTCACGGACCGGTACCGGTCCAAGGCCCGGGGGTTGGGGACCACTGCACTAGTGGACTGAAGTATAAGAAACACAGGCTTTTTGTAATGAATACCAAAAAGAAAAACATATGTAATAGAAAGTATTAATAATCTCTCTATCAAGATTTACAACAGAGATTTACTCTCCATCATTTATTTTCTCTTTTATATAAAACAAGATTTGGCCATAAAACCGTATGTAATCTCTTAATATCTAACAATATCATGCAAGGGTTCCACAAATCTCCACTTTAATTCAGGGATCTGTTGCTCTCAAGTCTGCCTGGCTCCTGGCGCGGTCAAAGGTTTGATGATCACGCAGTAACTCAGGCGAGGCTACAGCTTGTGCCAGCAAGAGCACGAGAATGAGCAAAAGAACCTGTCACCAGATAAGAAATGATATGTGTCTGCACATTTCTCATTATGTAAAAGTGTGTTTTCAATCAAAATGTAATCAAACAAAATCAACAGTGAAGAAATAATTAGTTTACATACAAGTTTTTTTTTTATGTTTATCTGTAACAGGTTTTATATTTGACTTTAAAGACTGTTAGCACTTTCTCTAAACATTTTTTCTGAGTCTTAAGGTGTTCCTGTGCACACAGGTGTCTTTACTTACTTTGTTTAATGAGATATAAGCCGGGTGTAGAGATGCAGGTTTTGTGGTACAGATTCTTACCATTTCAAAAGAGAGAAATAAATTCCTCTACGGTAAATTTCTGGGGCTTCATAATTTTGCTTCGCAGAAACACAAGGCAAGGAGAAGAGAAACGAGTGAGAACTCGGGGAAAATACAGAAATAGTTTCTTGATATGTTGGCTGGCTTAAGTAAATAAAGACTCCTGTGGTCAGATTTGCAAAGAATGTGAGGGGAAAATATGTTTCCCATTCTGTCCAAAGTGTTGTAATCCAGAAGACAAATGAAAACACCTGTGCGCACCATGTGTTTTAGCTTTACACAAAATTAGCACTCAGCAGCCGCTCATTAATCTCTTGTTCAGAAAACAAGCTTCGATCAACTCACTGTAAGCCGTCTGATTTCTTACAAAATGTCACACATCTTGCAAAAATTGCTTATTCAGCATTGTTTTTTGGATTACAACATTCTTTTACTTATGACTTATGATACTAATACCTTGGCTTCGTGTACCTGCTGTGTCCAAGTGCAAGGCCAGTACCAGTTTTGATTTAGTATTCTGATTTCCTCACTGTGGGGAAGACACTAAGAAACATTCTTTTATTTTTAAGGCAGCATCAGGCTTCACTTAAACACTGCTTTTTAAACGTTGTAAAACAAAATGTAACAAATTAAAAACATCCAAGAATATAAATTTACTGAACTGTCATATGTTATTAAAATAATACATGTGCACACGACAAAGATAAAAAAAAAAAAACCAACAACATGAAAATAAATAGACGTATGAACTGTATATTAGTGACCTTGTTCATTTGCACTTATTCCATTTGCAGCTATTTAAGGTTGGGCTAATGTCTCCTTCCTTGCTCTGTGCGCCCACCTCCTGAAATAAAGTAAGATTATATGTGGAGAAAACCTACACACAGGGTGGTTGTGGCTCAGGTGGTAGAGCAGATCAGCTACTGATCGGAAGGTTGGTGGTTCCATCCTAGGCTTCCCCAGTCTGCATGGGCAAAATACTAACCCTAAATTGCCCTCCGATGTGTTCGGAGTGTGACTGTGACTGTAGATTAGTTTGCACTTGTGTTTAGAAGTGCTTGCATGAGTGGGCATGAATGGGTGAGTGAGGCATGTTGTATACAGCACTTTGAGTACTCCGGGAGAGTAGAAAAGCGCTATATAAGAATCAGTCCATTTACACATATAGTTAGAATATGGTGAGTTTTTATCATGTAGGTTCACAGCAGGCAATTGAGAGAGAGTCCAGAAAATGCATAATCATCAGAGCTTTCTGGTTACATCAACTCACTTGACCACGTTTTACTATAAGAACTAAACTACTGCAAACATACAAAGAAAACCTGCTGTCATCATGTAGTTTCCTCCGTGCTGTGTTACTTCTCCTGGTGTCAGCTGGCACATTGACAACAATGTTTCAATATGAACGCCAGTCTAACTTTTTATGCATCTATCAGGCTAATATCAGATATCGCAGATATTGGACTGATGCAACCAAGTAACCAAGAATAGTTTCTGTAGTTTTATACGAGGTCTTTGAAAAAAAAAATCCAATGGGAGTACCACTGAACAACCATTTGCATTTCACTTTTATCACTCAAATCAGGAACTATCACCAAGCCAAGCTCATAATTCAGCATTACTGAGACGGACAGTCCATCTCCCACGGCTCATTACTTAGTCTCATCCCACCTCAATACACTGTTGGCTGGACACCAGGAGCCTGTTGTATCTCTGAGAATATCCAGGGCTAATCATTTGCTTGCCAGGAGTAAATGCAGTTTGGCAAATGGACTTTGGAGACTGTTTGGAAACTGCAAGACACTTTTTGTGTTGGTTTTTGAATTCTCTGAACAAATCTATTACAGATCAGCAAAAAGCCTGGATGTCCAGCAACAGGACGGAATTTAGTGTGTAAATATGACAAGAAATTTGTTTCAATTTAGTTCAAAGATTGAATGAATTTAAGTATTTGTCACAAAGGGGAAGGAAAGGTCTGCTAATGTTTGTAAAGCACTGCTTCTGGGAGGTACGGCAAGAGGAGAGGATGGATAATAAAAGCAGGCGTTTGTTTCAAGGTCATAGAAGAGCAAATCACAACTGAATTATAGAGATTTACTGATTCTTGTAACATGAGAATAAGTGACTCAGATCCATCAAACCCATCGTTTCTATTTACTGTAATGTCTGAGGGAAGTTTTCCAGCTGTCTAATCAATCATAACTGAAAAGCAGGGCGGGGATTTATTTTTAGTATATTTTAGTCATATGGTCTGCCACCATATTGTGCTATTTGTGTTAATTTAGTCACATATTAAGTTTAGAGAAAGAAAAAAGTTCCCATGAACTCTTGTTCTCCCTCTGCCTGTATCGCACAGTGGGATAAAAAAGGGATTGCAAAACTGCACATGAGTTTGCAATATAAATATCCTGTCAAGTTTAACAGACTGAGGTAAAACATGACGAGGGGGAGTTCGTCATTTACTAAATCATCATTTTTAACTGAGTGGCATATATAAAGTTATTTAAAATCTTTTTAAAAATGTGGGAAAATGCATTTTAAAAAAAGTGAACATAAAAAAAGAAGAAAAATATGTACCACAGTTACAGTTTGTGTGTGAATGATTTAGTTTAGTTGGCTTATTAAAACTAGAAAAAGGTATTTTTTTCATTTACTGCCCATGTTGTCTGAGGAAGTTCTGCATTTGATCCAGCTGGGCTAAATATCAGTATCGGAAACTCTTATTCAGCCTACATCTAAGTTCTACTCTAAATAAAATATCATATTTGAAGCAAAAGACTTGTCATTATAATGAGTTTACCTTGATGGCCAAAGTGCTTGTGTGGTCTTTTACAGCTTACCCAGTGTGCAGTGTAGTTTCATTCTTAATGTGGGTATGTCTATTAGCGATCCGAGCATCCAGTCACTCACTTGTGTGTAGGCTCTGCAGGGTCTCACTGAGTCAATCCTCTTATCTGAAAAAACCCATCAGACATCTATTTATCTTTGTATGTGTGACAAAGCAGCGAGGGAGTGTAGTTTAACTGCTACTCCCAAAGCCGCTGTTGGCCTAAAGCAGCCTGATCTAGAGTGGCTGCAGAGGCCAGAGAGCCATCCCATGGAGCAGAGAATGGGAAGGCAACAACAGTAGACAAATATTCAACAACTTTAGATTCTAACATGTTAGAGTAATATGTAAGCACTTCACAAAAGGAGATGTGGCAAGCGTGACAAAGGATACTACTTTTTCCTGTTTGTGATATTTCTCTTTACATTTTTCGGAGATTTCCAAAAATGTTTGTCTCAGACTTGAACATCTTCTTGGGCGTGGCACGTCTAATATCGGTGTTAGCTGTTCTGAATGATTCCTCGATGAGATAACTTTTGCAAACATATTTGAAAATGTGTGGTGTTCTTGTCACTCGATGAAGTAACAATCTAAATAACATTGTACATTTAAGTTAACAAAACATTTATTATGAATGCGGAGAAAGATGAATGAGCGGTGCACTCCAAGAGAGAATATGCTGTCGGCTGAATCTCACAGCTGACCTTTCAGCAACCTGTTTAACGTCTAAAGAAACACTGACCATGTAAAGTTAAATAAAACATGGGCCAAAGTGAGAGGAGTTAGACTAAAGTTGGAGCAGGCATATTAGTTGTATGTTACTGGTTGCCTTGTAGTTGTTACTTTTCTTAACCTTGATTGTAACCCACGGTCCTCCAAGTTTTCTATTAATATGCTACATGTTATTAATTACTGATTCTCTTCCACAGCATGTCTTTCATCCCGTCTTCCTTCTCACACCCCAACCGGTAGCAGCAGATGGCCCCGCCCCTCCCTGAGCCTGGTTCTGCCGGAGGTTTCTTCCTGTTAAAAGGGAGTTTTTCCTTCCCACTGTGGCCAAAGTACTTGCTCATAGGGGGTCATATGATTGTGGGGTTTTTCTTTGTATTTATTATTGCAGGATCTACCTTACAATATAAAGTGCCCTGAGGCAACTGTTTTGTGATTTGGCGCTATATAAATAAAATTGAATTGAATTGAATATAGCTCTTAAAAAAGGGAGCTCAATTTCTATTAATCTACCTATAGACATCCATCCATTTGCTTCCGCTTATCCTTTTCAGGGTTGCAGGGGATGCTGGAGCCTATCCCAGCTGTCATAGGGCAAGAGGCAGGGTACACCCTGGACCAGTCTCCAGTCCGCCGCAGGGCTAACACATAGAGAGACAGACATCCATTCACTCTCACATTCCCACCTATGGGCAATTTAGATTAATCAATTAACCTATCCCCACTAACTATAGACATACAATTCCTAATTTTAATCATTTTAACTTTCATGGTTACAAAATCCATATAATTTGAAGAAATGTTACATCTTTAAAATATGCAACTTTAATTCTGAATGGCTTCACACTGCCTTATGCTTATGTTCAGAGTCGTCTCGCTAGTGCGTTAAAAGAGCATCTCACCCACCCCGTCAGTGTGTGTGAACATAATGTAAAACTATGTTTGGTGACTCAGTGGCGAGGGCTTCAGCTAAAACCACTACTGTCTGAAATTGAAGGAAAAGGTACAATTCTGCCCTCACAATACTTAGTGCTTGCTATTTTTCCTACTTTTGATCAAAATCATTAAATTAGCATTAGCACAAATGTACTTCCCTACATGTCTGTAACTGCCTCTGTGTCAGATACTTAAGGTTCTGATTGTTATGCTGGAAGTCTTTCAAATACCTTCCACAGCAGCTGAATTTACACCAGTAGATGCAATTACTTCAATAGGTGCTAGAGACAAGAAATAAATCCTGACTGGAAAGCCACAGACGTCTCCTTAGAAATACAGAGTAAATCAGTGTCATTATTTTGTGTTCAGCAAGACTGACAGCTCTGCGAGGTTTCACACTCAGCAGAGGTCAATACCACTTGACCCAACTAATCCCCATGCAGGTTCTAACTTGTTGTCTGGATGGGGATATTGCAACTCGATTTAGTGAAAAAGAAAAGTGGACTTGAATGGGAAACCAATGAATGCTTGCAAGAAAGAAGAAATGTGTAGCATGTTTAAATTGTAACGTCACATCATCTTAGGTTTGTCAAATTTGAAATTGTGGATATCACCATGCCTGTAACTCCCTCTACTCGGGCCTCCAACACTCTTCTCTTTACCGGCTTCAGTTAATTCAAAATGCAGCTGCGCGTCTTTTAACAGGTACGAGAATCTATGAACGCATAACTCCAATTTTAGCCAAACTACATTGGCTCCCTGTTAAATATCGCATAGATTTTAAAATTCTTTTGTTCACTTTTTAAAATTCTGAATAATTTAGCGCCCAGCTATCTCTCTGAACTACTCCGGTTATACAATCCCAGCAGAGCACTTAGATCATCCAATCACAGGCTCCTAGCACAACCTAGGTCTCGAATGAAGTCGAGAGGAGACCGGGCCTTTGCAACCGTGGCACCCAGACTCTGGAATAACCTCCCTGTTCATATTCGTACTGCCGAGTCTATCCAGTCTTTTAAATCACATCTTAAAACGTATCTTTTTACTTTGGCCTTTGATTCTAACTAGTTGGCTGTTCTAGCTTATTGTGTTGTTACCTATTGTTTGTTGTCCTGTTTTATTGTTTGTTTTAATTGTCATGTTTTTACTGACTGTGAAGCACTATGGTCAACACTGTTGTTTTAATATGTGCTATATAAATAAATTTTGATTTGATTTGATTTGCATACAAAACCGTGATTGGAAAGTTTTAGAGGGAGATTAAAAAGAAAGGGACAAACACCAGAGCAGATGAGATTAAGATAATAATACATTAAATATCATATTAATTTATAGAAAAAAGAACTACACACAAAATATGATACAGGATAAAGGGCGTCTCTTAGCTTTTCTACCTGTGTATCAACCAGTGGGTGTATTCATGACCAGGACCTCCAGCTCGTCTGGCCTAAAGACTCAAACACTCTAAAAGCTATCCCAGTCAGATTTAAAGATTTAAAGGAATTAAAGAGTTTGTAAAATGCAGGGAGGAATTTAATGTGTCCAGCAGACAATTTATGGTAAATGGCCAGTATTTGTATAGTGCTTTACTAGTCCCTAAGGACCCCAAAGCGCTTTACAAAACCAGTCATCCACCCATTCACACACAATTTACTGCTCAGATTATATCTTAAACACATGAATCTCCTCTTGAACAAAAAATAATCAAAGTGAGGATACAGGCGAGTCTCTTAAAAGACAGTTGCATTGAGAATGCACATTGAAATGATGAAATCCTTACAGAGAGTTTTTAATATGAGAAAATATTTTCTTTCTTACTCGTTGCCTTCTTGTTGCTTAACAGCTGGGTGTGAATAATACAGGCGTACATTTGAAAACAGTTTCTATACAGCTCAAACTAGCGCATTGCAGTAATCAGGTTACATTTCTCTGAACTGCAGTAATGTAACGCAAAAAGAAAAACATCATGCCTACGTTTCTTTCCACACTTGTGTTATAATCAGACGATTGCAGTTCCAGTGCAGTGAGAATAAAAATGGTGGAGTGGTCTTAAACCTTTGAGGAGTAGAGATGTGAATATTATGAAAATAACTTTTATTTTTATTGCACGAAAGACCAAGAGCATGATGGTAACCAGGACAGAGGCGACTGGATTATAACGCTAACACAACGTCAGTTCTTTGGCATTTGCACAGATAGACTGTTAACTTTAATAATTATGTTATGATGCATTTCAGGGCATATTATTGAGTGACAGACAAGTAATGTAAAAAAAAATGCTTTTTCCAGGTAAATAAGTAATTAAGACAATGCGTTACTTCTTAATAAAAAGGAATAAGTAATGTGTAATGCATGATATTTTTGAATAAAAGCCTCAACTCTGCCCACAGGAGGCTCTTTCATCACTATAAAGACCATGAATAGATCAATGTCTGGGCATCTTTTTGCTCCTTATAAACTACGTGTGATTTCTTTTTTCGTCTCATACAAAAGGTTTTCTTAGAGCAACTTGGCGTCAGATTCATTTGGCTACAGCTTAAATTCAACATCCATTCATCAAGATTATTCCAAGATATATCTATTGCTGCCTCACTGACTCCCTCAGAACTATACAGATGATGTATTGATATGTCAACTAAGTGCTGAAGAAAATGTAGAAACTTTCATGACCTTTAACTTGAAATGCTATATTTTAATGGGAAAAAAGTGGAAAGTGTGTTTGGTCAGTCTCAAACTGTTTATGTGGGTCAGTCACTTATTCTGTTTCAATCATTATCTGTACATCTATAAAAAAAATAATAAATAAAAAAAACCTACATGTTTGTCTTCAAGTGCTTAAATTTAAGTTGTTGTCTTTTATTCAGACAAGAAAACAGATTTTGGCAGCAGTGCTAAAAAATATAAGCGATCTATTATAATGAAAGACGTCAGAAGGATGTTTTTCAGTGCAGCGGGGAGCTTCACATCATCGTATTGGTGAACGTACTGTATGCAGGTGGCTCTAAGCCCAAACTAAAATGTAAGCATTGCATTTTATCCGATATTTCATCTGTGACTGTATGAAATACTCCTAAAACAAAATGTCAGTTTTAACTCTAGGAGTCAAAGGTCATGCTGGCTGTTGAGGATATCTTGTGAAACCAGGGTATACCTCATGAAGAAAGAAAATTTAGTCAAATATCTTATGCAGAAACACCATTGTAGCAAACTAGAGACTAAGGAGAACAAAGATGATGTGCTAATGTGAGGTATTGAATGACCTACATGACTGAATGAATACACAAACTCCACAAAGCAGGTTCAAACTCAGAACACTGTTTTCTACTATATTGGCCCACATCACAAGCTAATATTGATTTGTTCAAAAAGTTAATGGAAAGCACTCACACAGCTCATAAAACGTGGTCACTACTGACACTTCTGTGGTG